ATGTGTATATGTATACCACTGTGTATCCCACAGACCAGCACAGCTGTTTCACACTGTAAGTTTTGTGAGATTGGACTGAAGACAAAACTGGCTATTTCTGTGATTTTGAGTTTTTTAATTGATAACCAAATTATGCAAAATAAAAAGTTTCCCTCAAAATTCTACCAACATCGATAGTTTTTCTATAGTGCGAGTTTTGAACTGTTGTACTTTAGCTTATTCTTTTTGTTAGTGCAGCTGAGGTACCTCTATCTAGTGGCACTATATTGTAGTGAAGAACGTATCCTTGGCATTGGTTAAATCTCTTTTTTTTTTTTTAATAAAACAGTAAAAGTAATACAACAATTTTGAGAACATCTGGGCCTTGGATATGTTGGAGTAGTTACTTCTTTCAACTACAAAGACCTTTATGCCAGCTTCCCGGCATTGCAATGAACTGTTGTGTGCATGTTCAGAAAGGCAAGGAAAGAAAATTGAGTTTCATTTTTTAATTATTTCAACTCTAATTTAAAATGAAGCTATGTTGCTAAAATATTTCAGCTTAATTTTTAAATATTTCCATCAAAGTTTGTTCTTCTGTAGACTGAGAAAAACAGCACATACAGAACAAATTTTTAAAAAACTGCTGCTGAAAGCTTTGAAATTGTTGTTGAAAGAGATTTTATGGTTTCTTCTTGTTACAGTTGATGACAGTGCACTACTTAGTGATTTGTATCATGAGAGAAAAGAAACAGAGTGGTAAAACCATGATTGGTAGCAGTACAATTGTGATTTTCAAGCTATCATATACAAGTATTTCAAGTACGCAGTCAGAACAGAAAGAGCAGGAACTGAAACACTATTTAGTATGAAACTCAGAATATGCATTGATGTATAAACCAGTTTGGAGATTTTTAAAACACTATCAGCCTTTTTTTTGACTGAATTACAGATATCCTTGTGACTACAGAACTGCACACTCTTACATAAACAGAATTCACTGAAGATAAAGAATTGAGTCACCCTCTGCATCACTGATTATCAGCGTCTGAAGCAAGGTAATAACAGAGTGATGTTCTGCCCTCGGGCTCGACAGTGACATGGTCAGAGCCCTGTTACTTCAATTCAAGTGCAGCACACCCACCAGTGATTAAACAGCCAACGCAAATCAAAAGCGGATGGAATCAGTGCTGCTCTGGCAGAACAGAGTGTCTCTTCAGGTGGCCAGATACGGTTCTGAAGCAAAGTATTTAGAAAATAAACCATCTGAATATCCCCAAACTTCAGAGTTCTTTAGAGCATCATGTATGTGAGATACTTACTGGTATAAAAGGTTCCAGAAAATGCACAATGGCACGTTTCGAACAAAATGTTACTTAATTTCCTGCTGGTGTGAGCTGGTTGGCATGTGCTTGCTCAGTGCTGAAACAAAACAAATGTTGTGTCAACTCCCAACATACATAGGAGATCAGTTTTTCTTTATTTCTCTTTTTTGGGGTTGAGTTGTGGGTTGATTCCATGAGTCGAATTAACATTAGTCAGTAGCTCTGCTGGCATCTCTGGGCCAGTCTACACATTCACTTGTTGTTGGATTTGATCTTCTGCTCTGCATTAAGGAAGTTCAGACACTGAATACAAGGCTCTGCTAAGTCAACAGGCAACAGACCTTGCTGCTCTCAACAGTCGTAAGAATTCAACAGTACTAAATTCAAGCAGTATGCACTGCAAAAGCAGAACAAAGCTTGAAAACACAGGGTAATTTGACATAAACTTGTACTGGTACCCAAAGAGAGCTCAGGGCCTGTGACTCGATCCTTGAATAGCTTTGCTATAACCTGCTTGCCATCTGCAACTTCCCCACGCTTTCTTCATCTCACTTAAAACTTCTTTTGCTTAACTCCTTTCTTCTATTCTGACAAGTCCTTCCCATATTAAAAACCACAAATCCAGACAAAATGTTCTGCTATGTGTACTATGAATTGACACAGTAACACAGAACAAAAAGGTCCTCCGGAATGACAGTGTCTGGTTCCCTGTGCTACAGAAAGCTCTGCTGTACAGTTGCCCCATAAATTTATCAAGCATCTTACTAAAACAGATATATTTTTGCTCCCACTAATTCCATGGAAAAGCTGTTTCAGAACTTGATTGCTGTGATGACTAAAAACATTCTTGTAATTTCCTTATATATTTATTAATGAATAGTACATATCTTTTTATTTTTATGTCAACATTGCCCTGCAAATTAAATGGATTTCATCCTTCATGTTTACTTCCCTGATATATTTATAGACAGCACTTGTATCTCCTCTCTGGTTTTGTTTTATTGAAGTAAACAAGCTGAGTCATCGTAAAATCTGTTTGTACAAAAGGCTCTCAAGCTCTCTGGTGATGCGCCCAACCTCCCTCTGCCCTTCTTTCAGATCAACCTTAGCTCAGCTATAGAACAATTAATGAGAAGTTTTCAAGTACCTCAGATGAGATTTCACCAAGGACTTAAACAATCATGTTAATACCTCCCTTCTTTAAACAAAAATACTCTCTATACTTATGATGATCATTTCAGATTTCAGTCTGTTCCTACTGATTTTATCAAGGCTACTACAAAAAATATTAAATAAGACCATCCTAAAACCAACCCTTTAAGTCTGACATCTCCCTTTTCAATCTTATCTGTGGCCATCTCACGTCATAATTTCTCTCCTAATCCCCATGTTCTCATTCTTTCCCAGATGATACCATATCAAATATTTTATCAATGGGGTATTATTATGAGAAATTTTAAATTTTCCAAAGCTTTGCATGAGATTGAGACCAGACTTCAGGGTCTGTATTTGGCCAGGTCACTTTTCTTCTTTTTAAAGACAAGCAATTACTATTCAGCCCACCTAACTTCAAAGACTTGTCCTCTGGAGACACCTCCCACCACTGAGTACAGAGGAAGCCTCTCAGCTAGGACCCCTCAATTAGTCCCCTCAAGTAAAAGCCCAGATGCACTTTTCCTATTTTCCAGTCATCTTATAGCATTCTTAACAGATCTGTTCAAAACACTTGCTGCTAGATTTTGTGTATCACCTGTTTTGAACTGCAGATGTAGTCCACATGCTGTTAAGCATGACATGGAGTTTTGCATTTTTGGCTGTTGTAATAATTTCCATTCTGCAATTCACATGATCCATCTTCTCCACTTGGTGAAAGGCATACTTCGAATTTGGGGACTGAACTTAGGTTCACTAGACACCAGTCACACCTGCTCTCCCATTTACATCACTGAAAAATCTTCTGCTCTAAAAATTCTGTACCAGTGTGTTACAAGCATGTCCAGTAGGTAGAAATTAGAAGTATTTTTAGCTGAAACAGATTACATAGTTGATTGGTAAAAATAACATGAGGCAGCAGAAAAAGTAGGCCAGTAATAGTATCAGATTGAAAAGCTTTTGGATGTATTTGTTTCTGTTCATGTAGGTGAAAATAAAAGGTTAATCAAGGGAACTAAGGCCTCCTAAAAATACTACTAAAGACTCCAACGGAATATGACATTTCAAGACCAAAAAAACCTGCTGTAGTATCTTACAAAATCATATTCAAGTGTTTTATTATTTATTCAAGATCATTAAAAGCCATCAAGAATAATTCTGAATGACAGCCATGCTTCTTCCGTAACCTCTTCTGAATAACCCAGTTAGAAAGTAAACAGTTTGGTTTTTTCAAGTCAGAGAGAGAAGCATGGGTCAGCTGAAAAGCACGGAATTAGGAATTTGGATTTTTTTATTCAGTCTTCCCAGGAGCACATGCTGCTAGAGGCTGCGGATCTTGCCGGAAACTTCGCAGCTCCGGCAGCCGGGGCCTTGCTCTCCCCTCAGTCGTCCCTGCCCACACCTCAGCCTGAACCGCGCTAGCGCCTCTCGACTTGAGATGCTCTGGGGCCGGGGAAGACTGGAGCGAGGAGCTGACACGAGAAGCTGACACGCGGAGCTGACACGCTGCGGCAAACCAGGCCCGGCCCACCAGGAGCGCCCTCGCCAGGCCCCAGCGGGAACCGCCGCGCATGCGCACCTGCGTGCGACAGG